TTTTTTAGCGCCCCCATATTTTCACATATTTAAAAACCACTATAACTTCAAATTAAATTAATTAATTATTGTGACCTTTATATGTATATTAACGGAGAATTTTAAATGAAACTTTTACTATAATCCGCAACTTGACACCTGCAGTGCCCACAAGGGGGCGTTATCGCCCACTTTGGGAAAGACTAATCAGTCTTTCCTCACTCACACACTCCTCACTAAATCTAGTGGATGTCATCATTATCAGCTCACTATACGTCCCCACCGAGGGGCTCGGAGCCTCCCCTAAGTTTAGGGTGATTAGGCCATAGTCAACCACGCTGGCCAAGTGCGGGTTGATTGACTTCACACGTATCTTTTGAATTTCTTCTCAGATATGTGCAGGTTGCATCACGATGTTTTACTTCACCGTAAGAACGTCGGATAAATGTACATATGTAAATAAAAAATCGAAAAACACATTGGTACATGGCGGGATTCGAACCCAGGACCTACAGATTGCAAGTCAAGTGCTTGACCACTGAGCCACCGACGCTCTAGTGGATGTATCAAATACAATCTAACGGACTGATTGTTTTCTTAAATACTTGTTTATAAAATTGTTTTGTGTTGATTTGTTACGTTGATATGTTGATTACAAAACTAGTGTCGATGTAGCTATGCGGACAATTAGCGTTATGTATTCGTAACAACAATTACCGCCCACGCCCACTCCGCACCACGCAACAACGAACCACGCCGCGGCAACTAGTACTAGTACTACGCTTCCGTCAATTGTTTTGTCAAAGCTATTTGGAACGGATGATGACATGTGTACAGGCACCTCTTTAAAATTAAAAAAAAGAGAATTTTCTGTGCTTACGACTAACTTTAATCTTGATATTCTGTCTGTTGACAAAAGCTTTTGATATAAGTAGTTGATTTTCCAAGTAATATTTAAAAGTAAAAAAAAGTGGGAAGTTTTTTATTCTCCTGCCTGTTGATACTTCAAGTAATCATGTTTTAATTGTCTTTCAACTACTACTTTACAATAATATTTAACACTTCCCGCGCTGTTTCTCTATTCTTTTCTCATAATTAAAAGGCAAAGGTTCTTAGTGGTATGCCACGTTTTTGGCAGAATATTTAATTCTGCATTCCACAACGTGAACGCGACGTATCAAATACGTCACATGTATAGATATTATGTATAGGCCTTATTTAATATGACGTGGGTGCAGGGCTGCCAACTATTGTATAAGGCGGCAAGTGGTGCGAGGCTCTGAGCTTCCCGGGTCAGCGCCCCCGCCCCGTGACGTCATCGCATACGTCACTCAGAGGAACGTTGCAATATGAACCGAATTGTAAGATATTTTTCTTCTTAATCAACGTCAAATTGTTCTTACGCTGTAGTTAATTTCGTCATTCGAATTATTCTTGTAAATACCACAAATTGATTAAATTCATAGATTGATAAATATTACTGATTTCTACACTCTTCGAATCATTTGCATGGATCTGGTTACAGGAGTGAGACTGTTGAAGAAAATTAGTTAAGTATTACATAAGTGTAATTTAGTGAACAGCTATGAGTGCGGCTGTGTATAAAATATGTATCTACTAGCTGTCGCTCGCTACTCCGTCCGCGCGAAAAAAAACTTAATTAATAACCTATTGTTCTTCCAAACTATGTATGCCAAATTTCATCGAGATTCGTTTAGCACTTCTGGAGATATCTTCAACCACACATCCATCCATCTAAGCATTCGCATTTATAATATTAGTAAGATACCCACGCAAGACGCTGAGTAGCAAAGTAGCGTCCGTTGCTAAGTCTTAACTGTAAAAAAATATAAAATCAGTAAAAAGTCAACATCGGACCTGACTGTCCTCAGAGTAATGTGACCATTTGCTATTGCAGTTGGTTCAGGACAGATCAGATTTATCTTTTCACCTGGGTTCAAGTTAAATAACGGCACGGCTTAAAAGATTCTTTTTTTTTCTTTTAATAAATCTACACATATCAAATATATGAATTTTTAAACAACCTACATCGATTCA